GGATCGACTCAACAAAATACAGCTGCGTACAGTCTGATGTTCAATTGATTTCTACTTCTGTAGTAAACAAACCATGAACGTATTCTTTCATTGTACGTTCGCATGAATATGTGTTGACTTTTCCTGTAAAACAGCTTTCATAAGTTATCATGTAATGAGTGCAAAAACTCGTGTTTTGAAGTGCTGCTGTTTATTGTTTGACTGAATGAGTTTTGAGAAAGTTCAACGCTATTAAATCGTGAGTCATGATTGGCTTATGATGACTTTAGAGAGAAGACGTGACTTGATCACGGTACTAGAACCATATTTTTTGCCTAAATACTCCATTCTATTAAAAGTTATTTTATAAAAGCAATAGACCACACTTTCTATGGGTTTACCGGCGTGATAACCCACTTGGGATGTTGGAAGAACACTCGAAAAGCTTGTAAATCACTCGCCTTCGGCTCGTGATTTACAAGCTTTTCTTTCTCGTGTTCTCCCAACATCCCGCGTGGGTTATCACGCCGGTAAACCCATAGAAAGTGTGGTCTATTGCTTAAAAATATTTACATGAGAAGAAATTGACCTACAGCAGCCTTGATTTCTACCTACCGGTAGTTCCAGTTCATTACCAAGAATATAAAAATGGTCTTTAAAGTTCTAAGGAAAAAGCCAAACATCAGTGAAAAAACGTAACCCCCAGTAACAATGGTAACATTATTGTAGTTTTGTTGCCTGCCGCTGTCTCCTGATCTTTTCTTTGATTGGTCACTACACAATCAACATTACTGAGATATTTCACAGGTGTTTACAGACTTCTGAGTTTGATTTTAAAGAGAGTTCTGTGCCACTACACTACTGGTCAGGTGTGCAGGTAGGACAGGAACACTCAATCAAGATGAGCTTCATATTGTAGTTTTGTTAAAGTTAAAAATAGCTCCCAGTGTTGTTTACATCCAGTAGAAAAATAAAGTTGTTGTTACTGTTGTGCATTCTGAGTGGACTTATTTCACATAATACATTTCACACTGTTGGCCTCTGTAGGTTAAAAGGAGCCTTTTGCTGGAACAGATAGTGTGTAAAGGTTGATAAACATTATGATTTGTGATCAGTTTTACCAAAAGATTATTTTGCGGATTAAAATTCCACTAAAACCAAGAAAGAAATAAACAAAAGCAGTCTTAAATGGAATGTTGAAAATCTCTAACTGAGAAACTGGTGAGCTGTTAAGTAAACAACTTTGTGTGCCAGTTATGCAATTTACACAGATACTTGTAAGCTAAAATGTGTCTTAAGAAACAGGAATGCTGTTACACAGTCTTCAGGTTCTAGTTTCTCAGTGTTGGGAATCAAGCGTTCACATTCTCCTCTGAATCTTGCATCAAGGAAATCATCTTCCACTTCAAGTACCCCAGCATAATTTGCTACCTCTCTAAGGTGCTCCTCTGTGACAGGCCAACCTAAGGATAAATTTGCCACTCACTACTCTTGTAACAAATCCTCTCTATGTGAGTATGAGAATGTGAACTCCATGTACATGAGTAATGATAATGAATGGGAAAAAACCTGTTGCAGGAAGGCACAGTCTTGAGGATAATTGGTTTCATATGGACTTTGTTTTACAATCAATTGGGATTGGAGGACAAGTTCAATAAAATTGTTATAAATAAATAGACATTTGAAATGGTCCCCAGTTATATAGCACTGTTGCAATTCATTGACTGGGATGGTTGCTAATAGTAATAATAATGTATACTGAATTCATAACCAGAAAGAGTCACCAACAAATAATTTTAAGGTTCAAAGCAACAGTGCTCAACTGTGGTATCCATTACATGATTTAAATAAGGGACTGGAGTTCAGTTTCAGTGCAGTTCAGTTTATTGTTTTGCCATAAGTTGTTTAAAATCAAGAAAAAAAATTGAATTAATGGCGTAGTACTGGCTTCTCCTCTTGAACTAACAAAGGGGCTAGTCCATCTGATAGGTTACTCTGATCACTTCCACTTTAGAAACCCTTCAAATGTAATAAACGATGTTTAAGATGTATTGGAAGAAATACAGGAAACAACAACTTTTGAAGCCTACCACTTTCTTCCAGGCCATATTCGGACGGAAAATTGTAAATGTGCTCAGGAATACCGTGGGGCAACACCGTATCTTTCTGTTGTCGAATCCTGTGAGTGTTCCAAACTGTATCTTTAAATGTGTCCAGCTCCTTTTGCAATAGAGGAATCATAACAAATGCCAAGAGCATCCTAATAGAGGAGAACATTTTCATATCTTTCATCAGATTATATCTGCCTTTTGTCTATTTTTTGGTACCATCACAAGTATTTCAGACAAGAATATTATACAAAAAACATTAATAAAGAGTAAAGATTTCTCTTAAGAGGCACAATTTTCCTGAAAACTAGTACCAAACAGCTTAGTGGACAACCCCACTTCATAAAACAAAAGAATTTCATGTTCTAAAGATTTCAAAATAGATTTAACTGTTTTGTACAGCTGATCATAAGCATGTTCTCTGTCACCAGAGTGTTTTCCTCTGCATTTTGATTAGGGAAAATGGCTGTTGAAGCAATGATTTGGAAAGAAAGTCTTGACTTCTTAAATCTAAATGTGCTTTTGAACAGTATGTTTTCAGCTCTTTTCAACTCAACAAAGTTAGGCAAATGTAGGCAGTAGCAAAAGGTAAAACAGTTTTAGGACACCTTTTCATAAAAAAATGTCAACAGAAACAACCCATTTTCACATACCGATCTTTTGCATCATGTGGATTGTAGTGGTGCTCATTTTTAAGCCAGGTAAGTTTATCTTTAAAGTACTTTTCAAGTCTTTCATGTAACTCCTTCCACCATCTTTCAATCTGGAAGTCAAGTGTTAAAGATAGTAGGTCAATCAATTCTCCAACTTGCTTGTCTCCCTTCCCCCCACCCACACACAAGGGGCATTTTTTGTCTGAAGTCTGCGTGGGGATGGGCAATTTGTTCTCCTTTGTTTGTATTCTGGGGAGTGTTTTTGTTTTTTGAGCCTGCTAGGACGTTTTAAGATATAGCTGCATGTCACCAGGTTCTATTTTTAAGGACAGAACGTAGGAAATTGTACAGTACACCGCCACAGACAAAAACACTTACTTGGTTAGCAGTTGATGGCCCATAAATCATTGTTTCTGTTGGATCTATATCGCCATGATGTTGTCTGAGGAATGCATGCATGGTTGCCATTACACCAGTCTCTGTACCTCGGTCCATCCTCAAGTACGAGGGAATAACTTTGTTCTCATATAGATACTCGAGATACCAACGGCCTATCAGTCTTGGCTCTCTGTTGTTGGTCCAGACACGAAGCCAAAGTAACTTCCTGCTTGCTGTGTCAATACTGCCATATATCGCTAATGGGAAGGTATCATTCTGAAAGCCCATCAGCTTATTATGCCCATCAACAGAATGTACCCAGTTTGGGCCTCTAGTTCTGAAAGGCTGCTTCTTCTTCTTGTTTTTGACGCCGACTGCACGACTTTCAAGTCCTTCAGGATCCATTTGCTGCATTACCGCATATACCAGATCTCGCGGCACATTTAACAGGTGTTCTTGCCGGATTTTTTGATGTAGTGCTCGGTAACCGAGAAGTTTGCCAGGTCCTTCAAGTTCCTTGCCAACAGCCTCCTTAACTTCGTCCAGAGTGACATTTGTATCCGTGTAGAAAATGTTGAAGTATCGAAGACGTCTATCCAATGTGGGTATACTCCAAGCATAAGTGGGAAAGTCTCTTTTTAAAAAATCTAACATCTCCTTTCGCTTCATGCCCTGCCTCACGTAGTTTCTCAAATCTTCCTGCAGGCGCACGTCTTCACACCAAGAACCATCTCTGGTCGCCATCTTGTTTTCTTGCCCGCCTCGTCCCCAGGCGTCCTCCTTACTACCAACTCATCGTGCAAAGCATCCTGGTATACTATGATAGCGCTAGGCTCATGCAAAATTTAATTTTACTTTTGTTTTTGTTTTCATTGCGTTTTTCTTTGCTTTTGGGTGCTGTTTTCATT